GACATAATACAATAACATTGAGGGCTGCAACAACTAAACAATTAAATTGTTTATAAGTAAGCAATAAGGAGAGGCAAGTGCTGGATTGTGAATATCGTTACTTATTTACAATACAGCACTTGCCTCGAGTACCTTATTGCTTTTATAAAACAGTTTCCAAACTATACAAATATTAAAGTAATATTAGTGCAACTTTCATGAAGTAAAGTGCACTAAAACCACAAAAAAAAAAAAAAAAAAAATAGTCCCTGACCGTGAACAGCAACAATGTTCCAAACAAATAAAGCACAGATATTGACCAATCAGAGTCAAGGATTGGAACTAACCGTTTTATAAAATACAATAATGAAAACGACTGCTTCATTATTGATTAAAGCTTATTCATTAACGATTTAATTATTGATTAGTTTAGTCTTCACACAGAGAACCTCCATCAGTGATGGCACTTTGAAGCGTTGAAAAATCAATTTCTATAATTTTTTTCAGTAAATTATATAATTTCAAATTATTTAGTTTTGCAAAACACCTTTGTGAGAATTAACTGTTGCTTTCATCATTAAACTATTTACATTAACAATTTGTTGTCGTTAGACCTCAAATATAAGTTTTAAATTAACCATAAAGGGATCTTAATCTTATATGCAACATATTTATATTTGTATATGAATGATAACTTCAAAAGGAGTAAGTGTTGGAAATACTTCATTTGTTTTCATTATGTTTATGGGTGGATCTCACAAAACCATTCGAAATAATGTCTGGCTCGTAATTCTCAGCAAAAACAAATATAGAATTATTATTGCACAAAGAAAATGAATCATATTTTTAAAGGAGTAGTTCACTTTAAAAAAAAAAAAAAAACTTTTGCTGATAATTTACTCACCCCCATGTCATCCAAGATGTCCATGTCTTTCTTTCTTCAGTCGAAAAGAAATTAAATTACGTTTCAAGGTCCAAAACACAGTTTCAGTGCAAACTGCAAACTGTTCAAAGGGCTTTAAACTATTTCAAACGATGAATAAGGGTCTTATCAAGCGAAACAATCACTCATTTAAAAAAATAAAAAAGTGTACGTTTTATAAGCTCAAATGGTCTGTGATGCACATTCGTGACTCTCCTATTCAAACTCGTTCATCAGAATGAACGAATCTTTTCCCGAGTCAACTCGTTCATTTCGTTCGTTCAATAAACCAAATGACACGAAAAAAATTTTGTTCATTTTGATAAACGAGTTCAAACAGGAGAGTCATGAACGTGCATCACAGAACAGAGCAAGGTGACCATTTGAGCTTATAAAACTTAAACTTTGTTTTTTATTTATTAAATGAGCAATCGTTTCTCTTGATAAGACCCTTATTCATCGTTTGAAATCGTTTAAAGCCCTTTGAGCAGTTTGCACTAAAACGGTCTTTTGGACCTTGAACCGTTTGGTTCCCATTGAAGTCCAGAAAAATCCTGGAATGTTTTCATCAAAAACCTTAATTTGTTTTTGACTGAAGAAACATGGATATCTTGGATGACATGGGGATGAGTAAATTATCAGCAAAAGTTTTTTTTTTTTTTTTTTTTTTTTTTTTAGGTGTTTTTGGATTGTGACATTATGTTTATGACAGTTAAGAAAATATTAGTTGTCATTACCATAATGCAAAACGTGGGGGGAAAATGGAAGATTCGATTAATCAGTGAAAAAGTCTAAAGATTAATCAGTTTACATGCTGTAATTATAAATACAAACAGGATTGCTGACCACAGCAAAACAAACTACAGTCCTTAACAAAGACATTCTCATGAAAGGTTCCAGCTCTGCTTATGTTGAACCTTCAGACACACAGAGTTCAGGCCCGTCTGTCACACTTGAGAGCTCAAAGCTGTCCTGTTTTGTTTGAGCGCTGGCTCTTTGGAGCTGGAAGACGGCCCCCTCATTAAACAGACATGGTCTGTGCAGAAAGATGGAGAGGGCTGTGTTCTTGGCTGGGGCCCCGGGCCTGAAATGCTTTATAGATCCTTTGGCAGGGAAAAAGAAATGGAGGCTGGCGTGTTTATGTTCTTAGTGATTTCTACAAAGGGATTGCGTTTGTAGTACTGTAAAATTGATATTGCCTCACTAAAGATCAAAGTTATTATCTAGTTTCATATCTTTTTTTAAGATTTTAATGCAGTACACAAACGTGTATTATCTAATAATGAAGAAATCGTTCACACACACACAAAAAAAACAAGGTATAGTTTTGGACGACATTTTTTTTTTTTTTTTTTTTCAACGTATCATTATCGATTCGGTCAGTATAGTGTGTATTTATTTTGCATGTGCATTTTTCATCAATTTTTATATTTAGAAGAATTTTGCCATTATCACATGCTCGCTTAAGATTAATCTAACAACACTGCTTAATGTAATATTTAGTTATTTAAAAATTAATATCCATTTTTTTACCCTGTACATTATAATATTATGCCAATATTCGTTTGTACCGTTTAAGTTTTGGAGTGTTAGATTTAAAATATATTTGGTCTAAGGTGTACAGGATTTAAACATCAGTCATTTATTAATTATTGACTCATCATATTGTACATTAACTAAACTTAAATTAATAGATAATTGGATTTACACGACCAAGCAATAAAGATATAGCATATTTTAGTTTGAACAGACTCCATTTTTCTTTGGGTTTGAAAAAACAGCTAAAGCGCTGTAGGTGATCGAAACTTTACCAACACCCAGCATGTCATACTGGGCTTGGTAATGCAAAAGCAGTCATTAGTAACCAGAATCCTTTGCAAGGATTAGCTCTTTTTTAGGACTGACCAGAAAGAACTAGTTGTTGGAAGCCAGGAAACACTGTTTCATTAAAGTTTTCATTACATGTTTAAACATGGGGGTGTTTTTATTTGAATTAAAGAATATGTAGTCACATGGAAAACGTAGATCAACATGTAAAGTGTTTTAGTTGACGTAATTTAGCACTAGCGGAATTCAAGGAGACATTTAACAGCGGTCACACATTCCTCTAACATTGAATGATGAATTATCTGCCAAAAAGATTTTTATTAAGAAAAGCGCTCTGCTGTGAAGCATTTATGGTCTTATTAAATGTGTTGTCACAAAAATGGTTTTAACTTGGCCACTTGCTGAATGTGCGCTATTGTGCTGTTGAGTTCTGTGTATTTGGCGACATGCCTAGACTTCCTGTTTGACTGTTGGGTCATTATTCCATCATGGCATTTAGACCAGTTATTGATTCCACCAAATGGAGCCTCTTTATGTTTTGGTACTAAATATAAATGAGGAAAGCCATGCCTCCAGTGATATCCCCATCAGGATCTTCCCATTCCTTGTGTGTGTATTGTACACCTATAAAATCCAAATGAGCCGCTGGCAGAGGAAAAGAAAACTTGAAGGAAGCATTCATCATGAGGTAGACGCTTTGCCTGACGGATCATGTAATCAAGCACAGTCTCCTGGGAGGCTCCCCAACCACCACCATCTCTCCAGGCCTGATGTCTTTTATTTCAAAGCGTGTGCACAAGGTCCAAAGAAACATCTGACCTTTCCTCCCAAACATGACGTCAAAGAGTCACCACGTGGTACCATATCTACCTTTTTCACATTAGAAACAAGTTGTTATTGGTCATACTGTAAGTCAGAGGTGAATTATTTTGAACATGTTTTTGTTCTGTTGATGAAGAATAATGATAAAACTTGACAGAAAATGCCACTCAGCTGGTTTATGTGGCTTGTGTAACAAACTACATCCCCCACTATTGTGTTTGTGACAACATAAGAAGGATAAGATAAAGCATCAGTTACAGAACTTAATCGTTTCTTTCTTTTTTATGAACCTCATTGGTTCTTGTAGAAGCTCAAACGTGCTGCGTAACAGGAGAATTAACCTCATTGGTTCCTGCAGAAGCTCAAATGTGTTGCATTTGAGCTCAAACGTGCTGCGTAACACGAGAATGAACCTCATTGGTTCTCGCATGTCAAGCAAGCATGCTTGAGCTTGAATCTGATGAATGTTTATTTGTGAATAAAAGCCTAAATTCAATCTGTTTTTATATAAAGTGACCGTGTCTCTTCAGAAAATTCGGACTGAACCGTTCAATTCATATGGATTAGTTTTACAATCTCTATATGAACTTTTTGAGGCATCAAAGTGGTAGTCATAAACTGTCAGTATAGAGGGACAGAAATTATTCAGATTTTGTTCAAATATTTGTATAGTAAATGAACGAAAGTCTTGCGTGTTTAGAATGATGTGATGGTAAATAAGGTCAGGATCTTAAAAAAGCCAGGTCTGCAGATACCCCGAATAAAGCAGTTTACATGCAAAGCGTAATTGGGGTGAAAGGCAAAGATGTAGGTGTGGCAATCTGGATTTTGCATAAACAGTTTATGAGCTTTACACACACACAAACCGTTTAAGATCTAAACTATAATGTCATGATGTTTTGAGCATATTAAGTGTAAACAATTAAACTGCTTATGAACCCACTCTGATTGCACTGATGTGTGAAGGTATACTTGCCAGAGACAGTAGCCTTACATAAAGTCCATTGCACATTGATGGTAGTTGGTAGTTTTTTACTAGCCCAGACCCTTTCAAAAGCATTAGCATAGTTTTGCTTTGCACATTGAATTTTAATGTTTATTCTACAGCAAAGTGTAAAACATTTAGGTATAAAGGATGTTTCTACAAGTGTATGTGGATTCTTAGCATAATAATGCAAAGGGAAGCAAAGTTGCCATTGGCTGCTCATTAAATAAAACAGCTCAGTGGAGGTTTGCCGTTTATGGTCACTGGTCAGTCCACATCGACTATAATTATTGTGCTGTTTAGCCTTTGTTACCATGGCGTGCTCACAAGTGAGCAGTTGCTTCAGGCTACATGTGATTAATGACATGGAGCTGCTGTTTTAGATGAAGCAACTTCTTGCCGTTTCATCTCTGTGCATCATTTACCTCTGTTGACGTGACACTGTTGTTTTTGTTTCTCTTCCAGTTGAGAGGGAGGTGGTGCAGAAAAGGACATTCACAAGATGGATGAATCTACATCTAGAGAAGGTCAGTAGGAATTCATTTGTATCCTATGAGCCCAGTAGATGGAGTTTATAGACTTCAGATGTTCAGATTATCCTCCTTGTGCATAGATCGATGCTTCTTTGTGGTGGTAGCGTAGCCTACTACAAACAGGAAATGTATACCTCCTTCTCTCTCTTGAATTATTAATGAAGGAAATTGAAATTGTAATTTCTTAGCATTAATTATGCATGAGGTTGAAACATTAACCCGAGTTGTAGGAAGAATATCAGGGCTGAGGAAATGGTTTTTTGGGGATTTACTATTTTTGTGTGCCAATAATGGCGGTTAAGCAACTGCATCAAATGCTCAAATTGTATCGAAAAAATTATTTACTTACTCAATTGTATGTATGTATATGCATTTATATATATATATATATATATATATATATAATTATTACATGTGCGTCTGCGTCTTTAATTTTTGCATCGTCAGTCGATCATCTGCAGAACTTTCCATTCTGAATTTTCCCTGTTCAGTAAATCTGGCCCTTACTCTTCTGTTGCTCCCTTCGCCCACTTTCACTATCATATTTTCCCTACCCGAATTGGCGAGACAGACACAAAACACACACACATACATTTGCATAAGGCATTAGTCATTGATTGAACACAACTCGTTTAGGCCTGCTCCTTTGTTTTCTCTGGCAGTCCTCTGCGACTCTTCTTGTGTTGTAGATGGTTTATAGATTGTAATGCTGCCATTCTTCAGCGCTGAATCCTTTGTTGTCATGCACAATGTTGCTCTATTCTTTGCCCCTAAGTATTGGCTTCTTCTCAAAACTTCGACCCACCATCGGACAATTACACTTTGTCTGTTCTGTTTTGGTGGAAAATTTCACCTTTAACCCTCCAGTTTCCACTGTTGTCCCATCATATCCTTTTTATTTATCCTTCTGAGAAATGTTATTATTGAAGAAGAGTGGGATTTTCCTCCTACACATGATAGCTTTTTTTAAGATTCAGTGAAATTAACCAAGAGTAAACATAATTTGAAGGATAGTTCAACAATGACAATGACAGTCCAATGACAGTATACGCAACTACCACTTTGACCCTTCAAAAAGTTGTTACAGTACTTATATAATAGAACTATAAAAACAATGTGTATTGTCATAGACATTCAAACATTGGTACAAATATTAGTTCAGTTTGAAATTACAGGGGCCTTTTTCTCAGGAGAAAAATCTGAGATGCAAAAGTTTTCAGCAATTGTAAACATTTGTAAACACATTTTTTTTCATAGTATTGAATTTTTAAAAAATATTTTTTTTTTCTGAACAACTTTTCTTATATGAGATCTGTATTTTATTCAAAGGATCAACATAATTTATAGTCATTGTACTGCTGTGCAAAACAATAAGATGATGTTGGTATCCCGTGTTCTCAAACATTCACATAAGACTGAAGCATAAAAAAGACGACACAAAATTTACACAAAAACAGAACAAAAAAAAAATTAAATGTACATAAAATGTTTAAAAAGGATACATAAGCTAAAACAATATGACAGAAATATTATCAGTATAGATACTGAACTGCATGCTTTTTGTGCTGTGCAGTGTAACCCTCGTTTGGAGGTGCGGGATCTGTTTCGTGATATCCAGGACGGGAAGCTTCTGATGGCTTTACTTGAAGAACTCTCAGGATGCAAACTGGTGAGAATCATTTCAGTTTATTTTCTGAATCATTTTACTTCATCTGTTCCTACAAACTGCTAAGAAAACGCTGACCTTTCCCCTGATCTTTCAGCTGCATGGGTTTAAGCCATCCTCGCATCGTATTTTTAGGCTCAATAACATCGCCAAGGTATTGACATTTCTGGAAGAAAGAAACGTAAGTATCGTTTGAGGTTACACACCCTCACAAATAGTAAATAAAACACCCTGAATGCTTTTCCTGAAACTGATAAATCTGTTTCTGCTTTAGGTGAAATTAGTCAGCATCGACGCAACGGATATCGCAGATGGCAACCCATCCATTGTGCTTGGGCTTATCTGGAATATCATACTGTTTTTCCAGGTAGCATAATCTTGTTTTCTTCCTTTATTTCTACATATTTATGCTTTTACATTTGGATTAGTCCACGTTTGATTGAATTTAGTTGGGGAAAATAGTTAATCAGTGGATTATTTGTGACTCAAGAGTCTTTTCTATGTGGCTTAAAGTGGCTTTGGGAAAGGATGAGGTCTGATTGGACCACACGATTGATTATGATTTCCTTCTGATTCTAGTGCACTAATCTTATCTTGTCTTAGAGAAAAGACAACTCTCTTATCACTCATGTCTAAAGAGTGTTTAGATAGGACCAAAGAGTTTCCTGAGCGGCATGATAGGAAAGGCCACCGCACTGAGCCAATGGCTGTCATCGACTCGTTCAGTAATGAGCTGTTTGTATTACAGATCAAGGAACTCACAGGGAACATTAAGAGCCAGTTCCCCTCCTCCTCCAGCCTGTCCTCCATACCCACAAGCTCTGATTCGGACACTTCGCATTCCAGCACACCCTCAGATGAGAGAAAGCCCACCATTGCACCAAGAGGTCATGGGAAGGCAATCAAGACCCTCTTGCACTGGGTCCAGAGACGAACTAGAAAGTAAGAGAGATTTTAGTGACCGCTGGGAATTTTTTTACTTATTTATGTCAGAGTTCAAAGCATTGCTTGCTACTTTGTTCTTCTAGATATGGAGTTGCAGTACAGAACTTTGGAAAGAGCTGGACAAGTGGTCTGGCTTTCCTTGCTGTGATAAAGTCCATTGACCCCAGTCTGGTGGATATGAGGAGGGCTTTGCTCCGAACGGCCAGAGAGAACATTGAGGAAGCATTTAGAACAGCACACTACAGTCTTGGCATCCCGAGACTCCTAGAACCTGAGGGTAAATATTAAGGTTGATATATAGTGGCCCCAAAAAACTGTTCAAAAAAACAAAAAACTACTGTTCAAAAGTTTTTGAGAAACTGCATTTATTTGATCAAAATACAGTAAAAACTTTGTATCAGTCACTTTTTTGGATCAATTAATACATTCTTGCTGAATAAAAGTATTCATTTCCTATAAAATATTATATATAATATAAAAAATGTACATATAAAATGCATATACATTTTTATATATTTTATATTTATACATATTTAAATTATATATTATTATATATTTTTATATTTACATATTTTTATTGAATTTCTGCTAAATTAATAAATGTAAATAATAATAATAGAAATAAATTATAATAATCCTAAGGAAAACAATAGGGCCTTTGCCTTTTCAAGGCTTTGGCCCTAAATATATGGCACTTGGTTTGACATAACGCAAAGACATTCATACATTAAGCAAGGCTGTAGTGTCCAAGCACTGTATTACTAATGTACATTTCAAGGTCTTGAAGGCATTTGAGGGCATATCTTTGATTTAATTTAATATACTGTACAGTAGCTTTTGAAATACATTAGCAGAGTTGAACTAAAAAAGTCTTTCCTCAGATGTGATGTTGAATCCCCCTGATGAACAGTCCATAATGACCTATGTGTCCCAGTTTTTGGAGCACTTTCCTGGAATTGAGGAGGTAGGAACGTTTCAATGAATTACAGCATCAATATACAATAAGTCTCATACATCTCAACTAAATGTGCTTTCTTTTCTCCAGGATGAAACGTCAGATATTCTGGAAAGAAGTAAAGCCAGTGCTCGTATGAACGAACCTCCTGTTCGGAATGGGGTTCAGAGAAAACGGGAGTCTTATATGGTCAAGAGAGACTTGGTTCAGCCACCACCCAAGATCTTCATCTCCTCGGTGTCTGAAGATCGTGAGCAGATCACCTCTCCAGTCCTATCACAGACCCCTGAGGACAGACCGTGGACCAGTGAAATGTCATCAGTGGGTTCAAGTCCCAGTCCTGCAAACGACAAGCCCCTTTATCACTCATTGGACTTGAATAAAGACGTGTCCACCACAAGCACTCCGCAACCTTCGTTCTCGGATTCTGCGGTCAACTCGCCAGACTCGTGGAGTGAAGTACTTAGCGAGACTACTAACTCTAACCGGATCAATGAGGATCCCGTATGCGAGAGCAGTACGGCTGGTACTGTTGAAGTGACCTCAGATTTAGGGTCACCATTTTCACCAGAGAGCATGCCGGAGAATCATTCGGAATGTGAGCTTTTCATAGATGAGGGAAACTATTCCCTCGGCTCCATGGATAGTTTACATGCCAAATCCAATGCGCCATCTGAGGAGGACAATGCTTACAAATATATCTTAGATCTGAAAGAAGAACAATCTGCTTATTATTCGCCCAGCGACAACATGAGGAATAAATCAGATACAGGATGTTTAGAACAAGCCGAAACCAATCCTTTGGAGCACCAAGAACCAGTCAAGCCGTCTTTTAATGATCCTTCATGTTTGGAAAGTGACTCAGGATACTTTCAGGATAACAAGGAAGCAATGCCAGCTCAATCTAAGGATGAGAGACCACTTACTTCCACTGTTGATGAAGAAGTGAGTGGAAATCTGGAATCTGAATCTTTTCAGGACAATGTAGAGTCTTCCAATACAGACGCTTTGCAGAGGAGTGCTTTTGAATTGACAGATGGACCTGAGAAGAAGCCTTTCATGACTGAGTATGACAGTGAGCCGGAATGTCCAGTTTTGCAGTTTGAGAGGGTTTCTATATCAGGAAGTGAGGAGGATATTAAACTGTGCACTGATCTGGCTGAAGAACCAACAGAGGAACCAGGCAAAAAGGATCTTGAAAATGGCCATTCTGAAACCATGAATGATTGTAGTGACCTCCATAATGGGGAACAAGTAAGTGTTTCAGGAATTGAGGTAAAGGGTGTGATATTTGACAACCTGGAAGAACCTGTCTCAGACCAGAGCCAAACAGAAGTTGAGGTTCCTAATGAAGATCAGGTGTGTTATATGTGTGGATGTTCGGTTGCGAAGAGCTCGACTGAATCAAGCGAACAGGGTGACAATTGTCTGTCCCATTTAAACTCAACTGAGAGGAACTGTAATTCAGACTCGAGACATTTCAGTAAATCAGAAGCAGGTGGAAACTTTGAGGACAATCCAAGGGAACAGAACAATGAATTAAACGGATCTGTAAGGGATCTCAAGAATGAGACAAGAGAGAGTAAAGGTATTCATGAAGATCTGCTTATTATAGGCAAGAGCAACATGGAAAGTGGGTCAGACGGCATAAGGAGGACTGAGTTTTCCCACAATACAAATGGTGAAAGCCAAGCTCAGGTTTCAGACAATATGAAGCCTGGAGGGCCCAAGGATAACAGGCCTGTATCAGTAGTAGATTCTCACTATGGCGTTCTGAAATCTGTCACTGTGGTGCCTCTTTCTGACCACGATGGAGGAGACAGCTCTTCATCAACCCAGAGAAAGCATCTAGAAGTTTCCAGCTTTGAGTCACCAATTGAAGCGGAAACCACCTGTGAGGACTCAGAGCCCGTTATTGGTGTCCGTGGGTACCTTGAAAGACATCCAGCGGAGCTACGTCTGTCTCTTAGCATGACTCCGCTTCAGCCGGCACCTCCTAAACGTTCACTTACCGAATCGGATACGGACACCGAAGACACTTCAGAGGAACATGGCAAGGGATTTAAGTCGAGAAAGGTTTTTTTTTTTCATTCTCACTTTTCTTTAGCCTAGAAAACAGGCTCAGTTTAATGCACAGACTGACCTACAAACAGAAGGTATCAGCATACGAGCTGTTTTAGGGTCATGGCCTCCTTTTCCAAATGTAGTTCACTTGAGCGCATTACTCAAAATGATTTTTTAATGATCTATTACAGTTGTTATTGAGTCCTGTGAGTATGGCCCAAGTTTTCAGAGCCAGAAGAAATAATACTGTATTCATTTACTTCTCTAGCACACTTTCCATTCACGATTAAAGATTGATAGTTGAGACGAACTATGAAAGACAAGTTCAGTTCCCTCATTTAACCAGTATGTAGATCAGCTCTCTGTAGAGTTGGGTTCAGTATTAGTGTCATCCACTCCCTGTAAAACCATTAGATAAGGGATAAAAAAGTATTTTGGCTTTCTTGGAGCTGCACATGCTGAGGCAGTGTGAGTTTGAGTCAGGTTCATACAATTTTCCTATTCGCTCTCCTTTTTTTCAGTTGACCTTTTAAAACGAGTGGTAAAAAGACCAAACGGAAAGACTGTTGTGGTTGAGATTATTCACACAGACTAAATTCGTTTTTGGAAGAAACACTCACCAAGGCTGGATTTATGTGGTCAAAAGTACAATAAAAAGTAATACAGTGAAATATTATTATGATTTTAAAATGTTTATTTTTTTATTTTACTACATTTTAAAATGTAATTGGTCATCACAGTGATAATATTACCAGAGAGAATATGAAATAGCTTGAGACTGTATTCTGGATATTGAACTTTTTAATCTTGCATTATAAATTCACTCCATTTTGCATGTGTCCATTTAGGACAGAGTGGGATCTTTGCATCTCCAGGAGCAAAGCCTGTTTGACAGACACCCGGGAGAATGGGGTGCGGTGGAGCCTGATTCACCAGCTGAGCATTGTGAGCTCATTAAGACAGATGAGGACCTGACCAGCGCTGGTGCCAGAGAAAACACTGGGGCTCTGAGGTACGGCTCTATTAATAGAGACTGCTACAGAGACACAGTCTGGGCCACCGGGGTGCGTTCTGTTTTCTGAAGGATGTGACCTCATAAACCTCTTAGAACCATTGCAAATTGCCTTACATGCACTTGTTTAGTTTTGAAAACTTTGGTTGAATTTTGGTGAATAGGTCATATCCATTTTAGATGAATGATGCAAACGTTTTTATATTATAGCATGTTGTGTTACTGTATAAAAATGTGCGTTTTCTATTACAGCTGATTGAAGTTATTTAACTCTCTCGCTGTTTTTTTTTTCATTCAGTGTGTCATGAATAAATGAGCTTAATTGTTACATGGTCCATATAAGAGTTCAGTGAGGCATATGAAATGTGTGTTTTATCAACAATAACAAATTTATCATGTTCTTAAAAGGGACGAAGTGGTGACGGATGCAAGCCAACCTTTGACTACTATACAGTTGAGAAGGGTCGTTGACACCAGCGAATCAAAGGTTTGCTAATGTTCTTGATTATCCCTCACAATCAACCCTGTTAAAATTTAAAGTGTATCTTATGATAAACACTACCATTCAAAGGTTTGGGGTCAGTAAGATGTTTTTTTTTTTTTTAAGAAATTGATACTTTTATTCAAAATGGATGCATTTAATCAATCAAAAATGGCAGTAAAGACATTTATATTGTTATAAAAGATATCTATTTCAAATAAATGTTGTTCTTTTGAAGTTTCTATTCATCAACATGATAAAAATAAGAAATGTTTTGTGCACCAAAACAGCATATTAGAATGATTTCTGAAGGTTCATGTGGTAGACTGGAGTAATGATCCTGAAAATTCATCTTTGAATCACAGAAATAAATTACATTTTAAAATACATTAAAATAGAAAACACCAACATTGAAATTGCAATAATATTTCACAATAATACTGTTCTTACTGAATTTTTTATCAAATAAATGCAGCCTTGGTTAGCATATGAGACGTCTTTTAAAAGTTTTTAAAAATCTTACCGACCCCAAATTTTGGAACAATAGTGTATGTAATTATCTCTTCTTAGATGTCCAGATTATTAATATTTATAAAGGCTGACAGCCTTGGCTCCCTGGTACTAAATATATTAACTTTTCTTTTTAATAGGGACAAAATGGGAAAGCCTTAGACCGCAGCAAAATGGACACTACCATCATAAATAAAAGGTAACATAGTCACCCTTTTTGTGTTTCTGCCGGTGGGTGCCCAACTACAAAACGCACTGTTTTGAGACACACACGTACATTCCTGCCACTTTATTTTTTGCACAGAAATGCACTGTAATCTTTGCATCATAAGATTTATTTTCTTTTACTTGACTTAAAGGGGTCATAACATGGAGTTTTTATTATTTGAATATGTTCCTTGAGGTTTACTTGTAATGTAAATAGTTTTTTTGCACTTTTTTTGCACAAAAAAACGTCTCTGGTTACTTACGTAACCTATGTTCTCTGAATAGGGAACGAGACGCTGCGGATAGCGCAGTGGGATATTCTCTGAATATGCCGATTGTCTGAAGCCCAATAGAATCACGCCAATCCATTGGCTGATGGCGCTCGCGCAATCTGGCCCCGCCCCGACGCAATTACGTCGCATAATCATATACGCGCGTGCGCCATCTTCCCCTCAGATTTCTCTGCCGAAAAGAAGACTGTCAGCAGCGCGAGGAGCTTGGCCGCTAACGCAGCGTCTCGTTCCCTATTCAGAGAACATAGGTTACGTAAGTAACCAGAGACGTTCTCTTTCATAGGTTCACTCAACGCTGCGGATAGCGCAGTGGGAACGGGATACCAAACTCGCCAAGCAAAGAGCGCTGCAATGACTGGTATCAAAAGATAAAGACTACAAACGGTTCAAACAGAAAGAATCTGGGAACCCGGGGTCATGTCAAGATCCAAATTGTAGAAACGTACAAAAGTGTGCGGAGAGGAGCATCCGGCCGCAACACAAATGTCCTCTAATAGAGCTCCCCTGAAAAGAGCTTGAGAGGATGCCACACTCCTGGTGGAATGCGCTCTAATGCCAAGAGGCGAAGGCAAACCACGCGCCTGGTAGGCAATCGATATCGCCTCTGTGACCCAATGAGAAATCCTCTGTTTCGATGCAGCAAGCCCACGGCGGCCAGCACCAAAACAAACCAGAAGCTGGTTAGATTTCCTCCAACAGCTGGAGCGGTCTACATAAAACTTCAAAGACCGAACCGGGCAGAGCAGATTAAGCTTCCTATCCTCCTCAGAGGAAAAAGGCGGAGGGTGGAAAGCGTTAAGGCTAACAACCTGAGAGCGGAACGCTGTGGAGAGAACCTTAGGAACATAGCCTGGCCTAGGTCTCAAGGAAACTTTGACTAACCCGGGAGCAAAGTCTAAGCATGACTCACTAACCGAAAGAGCCTGCAAGTCCCCTACCCGCTTTAAAGAAGACAAAGCCAACAAAAGTGACACCTTAAGAGTCAGAATCCGAACTGGAGCTGACTCTAAGGGTTCAAAGGGGGCCTCCTTTAAACCCTCCAAGACGACAGAAAGATCCCAAGAGGGAACTCTAGGGGAGCGAACTGGTTTCAGGCGCCTAACCCCACGCATGAAGGCCGAAACTAACCTCAATTTGCCCAAAGGAATCTCGTCTGACTCTCTATGTGCCGCAATAGACCTTTCTCACAACTTCCGTATTTGTTACCGGAAATACGCAATTGTCGTGGTAATCTTCTTCCGCTCCATTCATAACAGATAGCGCCGAAGGCAACTAGTGAGAGTTGTTGCATACCGATCTTTTTTGTTATTCCCAAAAGCAGCCATACCTGTCGTTTTCATTCCTTCCCTCGTCAGTTCCCTGTCGATGAAGTTCGGCGGAAATGGATTCAGGCAATCTGGCGGGATGTTATTGAGCCTGTGATCTTCTGTACTTCTCATGTCACCATTCAATAAGCCGTCATTGTTTGTTTATTTTTTATGTTTTATGATTTGTGTATTTTGAAGTAACGTTAGTTCACGTTCAACTGTATTAAGATATTTGTATCCAGCGGAATAAGCACATAAAATATACACCACAATATAAAACAAGATAAATAAGAACACACAACAGTGGGCTACATATAAATTTAAAATATTAATATATACCATTCTGAGTATTTAACAATCTGAGTGTACAAGGAATACATTAATATTTGTATAATTTTTGTTCATCTTTGATCGTTCTATCAACAGCAGTGCAAAAAATTCAGGATAACTGTTGAATAAAACTGACAGACTTCTTTCTGGTATTCAAATCAAAATGTAGTTTATTGTAAATAATACTCCCTAAATATTAATAACTTTCCAGACACTCCACCTTCTTACCTTTAATGAACGTATATTGGGAAGAATGAGCTTCAGTTCTAAAATCAATATCATATCTTTGGTCTTAGATACATCAGCTGCAGACAAGCATCACCACAGCATTTTACAAAGTCATCAACAATTGGACCATGACAAGTTTACATTTTTTCGAAGTTTTGAAGACTCTCTGATCAATTTTCTCCTTCCAGAGTAGGTTTTTCTGATGTGTTAACAGTTGACGGGAACTCCGTTTCCACAACGATTACGTATTTCCGGTTTTTGTGAAAAAGGTCTATGGCTGCAACATAGACCCTGAGGGTGGTAGCCGCCGCCCCGGAGGAAAATCTCTCTTGCAGGAACTCCAACACTGAAGCGACAGGGCAGTTAACTGGGTTCCTATCACGCGCCAAGCACCAAGACGCGAAAACCTTCCATTTGGAAGAATACAGTCTCCTTGTAGAAAGAGCTCTAGCACTAGCGATGGTCTCCTGAACGTCAGTCGGGAGATCCAAGCCTAAAGTCGACGACCCTTGATCGGCCAAACGTACAGCTTCCACATGTCCGGGCGAGGATGCCAAATCCTGCCCTGAAGTTGGGAAAGCAGATCCTCTCTGATTGGAATCTTCCAGGGAGGCGATTCCAGCAGAGGAATTAACTCCGAAAACCATGGCTGAGACGGCCAGAATGGGGCTACTAGAAGGAGGCGGACTCCGCTCTCCCTCACTCTGGCCAGGACCGCCTGGATCAGTTTGATGGGCGGGAAGGCGTAGAGTTTCTGCATTGGCCAAGGGTGGGCGAATGCATCTATCCCCAACGGAGCTGGAGGATTCAGGGAGAACCAGAGCGGGCATTGGGATGACTCCTGCGAGGCAAAGAGGTCCACCTCCGCTTTTCCGAACACCTCCCAGATCAGGGAAACTGTCTGACGGTTCAACATCCAATCCCCCGACTGGAGTTTCTGCCTCGATAGAAAATCCGCTGCGAGGTTCAGAACCCCTGGGACATGGACCGCTCTCAGAGAAAGAAACCTGCTCTGAGACCATAATAGAAGATGACGCGCATGCCTGTCCAGGGTGCGAGATCGAGAACCTCCTTGCCGGTTTACATGGGAAACTACCGCCATGTTGTCCGTCCTGACAATGACATGGTGACCCTTTAGAAAAGGGAGGAAATGACGCAAAGCCAGGAAGACGGCTCTCAGTTCTAAGCAGTTTATGTGCCAAGCGAGGGTCTCGCCCGTCCAGACCCCGCATGCTGGCCTGCCCTCGAAAACTGCTCCCCAACCGGTTAGAGAGGCATCCGTCGTAAGCATCTGGCGACGGAATACCGTACCCATGCTGACCCCTTTCTGAAGAAAGAGATGGTCCCGCCAAATCGACAGGGCGCGAGAGCAACTGCCCGACACCCTCAACAGGCGAAAGGCTGACCCAGTGGGCCGGATGCCTGAGAGCTTCATCCACCACAGGAAGGGTCTCATGTGGAGCAGACCCAGGGGTAGCACAGGGGAGGCTGCGGCCATTAAGCCCAGAAGCCTGCGGCAAGTGCCCACAGAAACATGATGGCCAAGCGAAAAACGGGCCAAACATGTCATCAAACTGCAAATCCGTGCAGGAGCCAAACGGGCCTGCATACGAACGGAATCCATGTGCACACCCAGGAAGACTGTGTGCTGAGCTGGAGTAAGAACACTCTTCTCCACGTTCAACCTCAGGCCGAGAGACTGAATATGGCGGAGAACAGTGTCCCTGTGGTGGGTAACCAACTCCCTGGACTGGGCTAGAATGAGCCAGTCGTCCAGATAATTGAGAATGCGGATGCCCTGGAGCCGCAAGGGGGCCAGTGCTGCATCCACGCATTTCGTGAACGTTCTCGGTGCCAGGGCAAGGCCAAAGGGAAGGACCTTGTACTGGAACGCCCTCCCTCCAAAGGCGAACCTGAGGAACTTTCTGTGACGCCGCACGACCTGGATGTGAAAATAGGCATCCTTGAGGTCTATTGTCACGAACCAATCTCCTGGTCGAATCTGAGAGATGATGGCTTTCAACGTCAACATCTTGAATTTCCCTCTGAAGAGGGCGAAATTTAGTCTGCGGAGGTCTAGAATGGGACGCAAGCCGCCGCCTTTCTTCGGAACCAGGAAATAACAGCTGTAGAAGCCTTGTTCGGTTTCCTCCGCAGGAACCTCCTCTATAGCTCCTTTGAGAAGGAGGGAAGAAATTTCCCGCTGTAGCACAGAAGCCTGAGTGGCGCTGTTGACTACAGTAGGAAAAATCCCGTTGAACCGAGGGGGGTTGCGGCAAAACTGGAGAGTGTAGCCGAACCGAACTGTGCGAAGAATCCACGGCGATACCCCTTGTAACCGCTCCCATTCTGGAAAGAAATGTGAAAGAGGAAGAGGGGTGTTGCAATGCAAATGACATACCTGAGTGAGGGTGTCGTGCTGAAGGCCGTGGAGTTGCAAGGTTGGCCGTGCAGGAGAGCCCTTGGCGTCCTGACACGCGATGAGAGGTGCTAACGCCGAGGTCTGGGTGACCGGGCCTGCCTGCTCCAGAGAAAAAGGAAGAACGTTTCTGAGGACGTGACCGGCAGTCAAAGAGAGTGTCGGGGGAGAGGAGAGAAAACCCAGGGTGTCTCCTTCCTCTCGCACCGGGCTGCGTAGAAGCGGTGAAATATGGCCTGCTCTTCGAAACACCAGGGTGGCGAAGGAGACAGGGTAAGAAAAGGAGAGCTGGTTGGAGGTGGACAGAAACGCTTGCGCGGTCTGTCCCAACCTCGTGCCTGTGGAGGAGCTCTCCTTTTCCCGACCAACGGGTCAGGAGCGGGACGAGGCAGCTGGAGCGGGCGGCTTGTCGGATCGCTTCAGCTGCACACGTTTATGAGGTCGCTGACGAGGGAACGGGCGACCGCTGGCTCCCCAAACCGTGGGAGGTGGGGGACGCGCTGGGTCACTCCTCCTGAAAGAGGACTCCGCTCCCTGAGAAAAGCGTTCTCTAGGTCTTCGGGCAGGGGAGGGAGCGGGGGATTCCCTAACTCTCCTGGGCATGAACTGCTTAAAAGCGGCAGATTGAGACTTGGAAGAGCGGAATTTCTCAACCACCGTATTTACCGCCTCCCCAAACAGACCTGACTGAGAGATAGGGGCGTCGAGGAGGAAAACCTTATCTCTATCGCGAATTTCAGTGAGGTTGAGCCATAAGTGGCGTTCCGCAGCAACCGCGCCAGCCATAGAGCGGCCCACCGCACGTGCGGTATGTTTGGTGGCCCTCAAGGCCAAATCCGTGGCCTTACGCAGCTCCTTCACAGCCTCAGGAGTGACACCACTACCCTCATCCATCTCTTTAAGGATATCGGCCTGGTAGGCCTGAAGGATGGCCATGGTGTGAAGGGTCATGCCTGCCTGACCAGCCGCTATGTAGGATTTCCCGATGAGAGAGGAAGAGGTTCTACATGCCTTCGATGGAAGGAGAGGACGTGCCCTCCAAGATGGCGCCGACGATGGAGCAAGATGGCTGGCCAAAGTATCCTCGATAGCCGGAATGGCAGAGTAGCCCTGTTCCACAGAACCCACGAGGTTGGTGAAATCAGCAGCTGATGCATTAGTGAGACGCGAAGAAAAAGGCTGCTTCCAGGATCTGGAAATCTCCCGATGCAGATCATTGAAAAATGGCAATTTTCTCCGTTGGGGCCTAGAATTAGGGCCACTGAAAAACCTCTCGTCGAGTTTGGAAGACTGCGATTCGCGAGGCTCGTCAGGCCAGTCGATCGAGAGTTTCTCCGTGGCGCGCGAAAGCACATCCACGAGCTCAGAGTAGGCCGCGGTAGGCCGCGTTTCCTGGCCGCTAGGCGGGATAACGTCATCGACGAGAGCAGGCCTGAAATCCTCGGAGTCGGAAGCCGCGGTAAAGATGACGTCCTCCAGCCCGAAAGAAACAGAATCGCGTGCTCCCGGGCTGGGACACAAATAATCATGAGCAAACTCGACCGGCGAGTGAGCGAGCTCGGGAGATGGAGGGAGAGAAAGAGCGGGGCCCGTCTGCTCAAATTCCACATCCTCGAGCTCAACATCCGAACCCCAGGCCGCGGATCCTCGAGAAGCCTCGGGAGCGCGACGGGGGGAAACGAATTTAGAATCCTTCTCAAAAACCGCAAGCCGAGAGCGGAGAGTTTTTAGAAGTAAATTATCGCAAAATTTACATTTAGAAAAACCCAAAACGGCCTCGCGCGCATGTGAGAAACCCAAACACCTGATGCACTTACTGTGAGGGTCGTCGCTTGCGATGAAGCGAGCACATGGCGGAGAGCAACGTCGATAATCCATTGCAGCTTCACTGGAAGGAGAACAGAGTTCCACTTGTGCAGTCGCTGAAGTGCAAGAATCCGAATAATCCGAAGTAGGCTTAGAAAAACCGAGACGAAGGGCGATGTGATCGCTTCGTGAAGGCAGAGAAATCTGAGGGGAAGATGGCGCACGCGCGTATATGATTATGCGACGTAATTGCGTCGGGGCGGGGCCAGATTGCGCGAGCGCCATCAGCCAATGGATTGGCGTGATTCTATTGGGCTTCAGACAATCGGCATATTCAGAGAATATCCCACTGCGCTATCCGCAGCGTTGAGTGAACCTATGAAAGAGAACATATACAGCATGTGGAAATCTCATTTACAGACAAAGCATTATACAATCCCTTACTTAAGATTTGTGATGTTGAAGCTGTCAGTTCCAATACTGCTGACTGCTTCATCTGTCAACAAAAGTTTAATTTGTGAACTAAACTGTGCCTCGTTTACAAAACAATCCGCGGTCAAATTCTCTGAACAAACATATAAACCTCTAATGAGTTGTTCAAAATGGATAATCCTTTATGCTTCTAAAGTGAACAGGCATCTGTATACTGTCCAGTGTAGACAGCGTCAGTGTTTGTAATGGCTTCTATTTGCTTTTGACGCAACACTAACATGCGGAGTAGACAATTGTTAGCCGTGGGCGTGGCCTATGTTGTGATGATGTAAAACTATTCGTCAATGTCTTGCTCTGGAGGCGTGTGACGTCACAAGTCCCCCTACATCCATATGAGCTTGATTGAATAAATGCTTTGTTTATAATGAGGACATTTTATGCTCTGAAACTCTTAAATGTCAAAAGACATTTGAATTCTCATATCATGACCCTATTAAGTTTCATTTTCAACACACCATGAAGTCACTTGACAATCATTTGTCTTCATTGTTGACATGTTTCTCATTTAAACCACAGTGCAAGATGATTCATATAGACCATTTCACAAGATGTAAACAACACTGGTCCAGAAGCACTTCCTGTTTCAGTTTTTTAACACTACATAAAAGCTGGGATAAAATACATCCAACAGAACATTTAAAACTGAATCAAAAAGTTAAACAAACATCTATAAGATGTTTTCTTTACATGTGAAATAAAGAAAACAGTTACAAACTGAAACAGGAAGTGCTTCTGGACCAGTGTTGTTAACATCTTGTGAAATGGTCTACATTTTTGATTCGTTTTCTTGGAAGAGAAAGACTGTACATTTGAAATGTGTATATCCACAAAAACTTTCAGGAGTACTCCAACATATAGATTAGCATCAAAGCTAACAGAAACAGACTAAACAAAACTGATTTAAGTTTATTTAAAGTGCCCCTACTATGTTATTTTAAAGGTCTAACTACACATTTACAGGCACCCAAGGTCAAAAAACTCTTTAATTTTCTCATGATATACATTTCAGCATATCCTCTTTTATTAAAGTGTCTGAAACATTTTGATAAAGGATTCGGTCTCTCTAAACTCCTTTCTGAGAGACTAGTCTACTCTAATTGGTCAGAAGATCCAGTCTGTTGTGATTTGGTCTACCACTTACAGAGTATGTCATATTTGACAAAACGTGCCAAATTCTTCCAGGCCAGGTTTGTGCATTTAGTAAAACTGGAATTACTGACAACTCGTTTCAGGCAGTTCAGAATTGCTTCTTTTAGGAGACAATGACTCGATTTATTTGAAATTCTAATACCATGTGTTTGCACTTTTGTTTCATAACAGCTTGGAGAGCAAGACTGCTGCGAGTCATGAAAGCACTTATGACACAACCTTGTCCGACCTTGTGTACATCCTCTTGGCTGCTTGGCTCTTCGTGTACTGCCTTCTTGTCCTGCCTCAGATTGACTTAAGGATGCTTCCTAAACTCCTCTTCAACATAGATGAATGACTGCAATATTATTATACAACAGAATTGATGCTCACACCTACAACTCAGATCAAGTTCTTATAGATCAGCTTCCGTTTTTTTTTATTTTTTTATTTTTATTGCAGGTTAACAAAACAGTAACACATACCAGGTAAGATTCAGTGAGACACATCTACAATACAGAAGTAGGAAAGGGGAATCACCCCCAAAAAATTTTAAGTACAGACATTCTGATAAAGCATTCCCTATTGTGCTGTATGGAAGATGAGGGTGAGTAAATTATGACAGATGGGGTTTTAATTTTTTTTAAATGAACTATCCCTTTGACATGAATCAGGACCCGTGACCCAAATGTTTAATGAGCAAATAAAACGGATTGGAAAATTGGCCATATCAATCAGCTTTGTTGCCTTTTATATTTCCATTCACATCTGCACACAAAGAAAAAACAAAATATGTATAGTTTTTTTTTTTGGTTGCAGGTTTTTTGTAATCAAACAGACACTATTACAGGTCCACGTGCAACACAGTTACACAATAGATTATTTATAACGCTTCAGAAGAACGTGCTTTTTGATCTTTTATGTTGTTTGTACGTACACTATATGAAGAAAAGGCATCTGTGCAACTGTTTGTATAAAATAAGCGAAGGTTTTTGGTATGCTTTAAAGCTGTTTTTGAATGTATCTTTTGAAAAACGTGATCGCATTACATAGACCCCTTTATTTTTTTTGCATTATTTTTAGTAAACAATGAAGTCTTTCAGCACAACTAAATGATTATGTTCCACCAACGTTTATATTTATACATCACATATGGCTCTGTAAGTTAAGAGACACTTGTAAGGTGTCAACAGCACTTTTTAAAACTCAAGACAAGAACTGCCAAAGATTCAGTAAAAGAAACCTATTCCCAACACAGTGAACAAATTATGAATTTGCCTATTCTTTTAATAATAAATCCTGCACTTAAAGTATATATTTGATGCATTTTACAAAATGCAATAGCACACAAAAATTACATTTGTTAGTGACAAATAATGACACATTTATTAGTCATTTTACACAAATTCATTATATTGACTGAATTTGTAATATTGACACTGAAGTTGTTAGTGGTGGTTTTCCAGGACTGATTTAATTCCCTAAACAGAAGGTTTTAATTTGAGCCTGTGGGGCTTGTAATATGTTGTTAAAATGTGGCTTTTTATCTTATATTTCCTACATTTTAAGCTGAAATGTACACTTCCACGATATAGAACAAGCCTACTGGCTGCTGAGTGCTAGTCGCATGATCATAGACAAAGCCAGAATGTTAATGCATCCTGATTCATTTATACGCCTATAAAATGCTCAAAATTGTGAACAAGCCAAACTTTCTGCATGAGAATGTGTATGGGAAATAACTTTTGTCTTTAACATTTTTAAAAGTCACCAAGTGAATCTATGTCCTGCTTTTGTAATGAAAATGATTCAATTTTCATGTTAAAATGCACTGGAGTGCAATAAATGATACATTCTTTGGTTGCCACGACTGTTGTGTGTTTTCTTGTATCGAATTGTGTCTCCATCCTTAGTCTAGCAGTTTAGCCTGAAAATGCAGACTTTAGGGTCACTGTCTATGATTCGCTCAATGGACTAAAGCCAAGTAGAACTGTTTTAATTGCATATGATTCATTTTCATCTTTAAATGACTAAACATAATTTAGACACACACCAAAACTCCATCATATTTTCCCACTGCAGGCATTAAATACCTTTTACCTTTTATTATTTTCAATTTAAGCACTTACTGTAACAGATTTGAAGGGAGACATTGCCTTTAATTTTATATTTTTTTAATTTTACTCTCTCTTTTTTGCCCTTCTTTCTGGGTCAACATATTTGCATAAATATCAATGTCTTTCTGCTGCTGATGTGGTTGATACAGGATGCTTGTCAATTCTTAAGTGGACACATTACATCAAATAATAATATAATATAATGTATATATCTTAATTAAAATGACTCATAAGTGAAGTGGAAAAACTCAACCCTGTCATATTGTAAGTTTACAATCAACAAATACATATGACAGGGTGGAGGGGTTTTTTTTGCTCAGAAGGGCCACTGCTGCTTGTGTAGGAGAGTAGAACATGGCAGCAATGAAATACAAAAACAAATAAAAATGGTTATATACTTAAAATTTTGATAAAGATTAATTTTTACTCTCAATTTTATGTAGTGAGGTAGAGTTGTTAAGCTTTACTGTACCTTCCCTGGCCTATAGTACGCCTCAAAAACATGAATAAAAGGTATGATACCATCTTCTGCACCACTGTTAAAGAAACCTGAATTATGTCATTCCTAAATGATGTCACATATGAGGGTAGTCTAAAATTGTTATGGACATAGAATGGCTGGCGTGACATGGTTTAGTTCAGACTGAGGGACATAACTTTAGTCTGTTTTTTTTATATATAAAATATCTAGCTTTTATTTATTTATTTTTTATGTTTCACAAGAAAGTAACACAAATAAATAGACATAATTGACACTCACTGCATGTGCACATTTCAACAAATCCTGTTCCTCAAGGACATGACAATTTTTTGGTTTAAAATAGAAATAAAAAATATATTTTTTGATAAAAATAAATGCAGTAATTATTTGTATTCATTATACTGGACATACCAATGTGTTGTGGAAAGCTTTTAACATTTATTTTTTGTAAACTGATACTTTAATGAGTCACTGTGACATATTCGAACTGCAAGAACTTACCTGTGTTGTCGTGCAAAGAAAATATTAATACATATTACTACTTTTAAAAAGGAAATGCTGTGAATTGGATGCAGATGTGAATTCAATTCAGCAGCAGAGTGAGTGAATCTTGCTCTAGTCCCCGTACAAACGGGGAAATCCTAATTTATTTGCTTGTAGCGTCACTTGCTGGTCGACTCTAACATAGGCCTATACTTTATATCATCTGTCCACGTCGAGCTAATCAAACTGTCGAAACACCTCAGATTAATATAACTGTAAGTGTAAATACACAAATAAAACTACTGCTTGTGTGAGATGACATGTGATAGAGCATGTGGTCGACTCTGAGTCAAGTATCAACTGTGGACAGGTGATCCAATTAGCCGAAATTTGGTTGTGAATTCCACTTTCGTCTTCAAAGAACGACGCCATTGTCATCTAACGGGGTTTTGCTCAGATGATCTAACCACATGTTGTTAAAACTCACTTTAATCCCACAAAAATCTGGTAAGTGCTGTAAAATTCAATCCCCCGAGGTTTAACCTTAGTGTCCGTTATGTTGCATATCAGGCACTTTCCATGAATAGTCTGCATGCTGTTCCATTTTAGTATTTTTGTTAGATAAACTATTATCTAACATCAAATCTTTGGCAAGTAACTATTTTTAAACGGAGCATTTTGTCCTATAAGAGATTTAGAAGACTTTTTATGTCAATGTCACATTAATCTGTTGAATTAATTTGTATTCAAATAATTTTAAAAGTATTTAATAAAATGAACGGTGCTTAAAATCGACATGATAACGTTATTGAAATAACCTTATTTTATATGTTACCCTTTTCTTATGTATTTAAAATATAAATAATACAAATATTAAATAATTTATTATGATCAAAAACATGATGAATATGTGGCTTTGCATGGTTAAACGACATAAAGGTATTATCACTAGGTTTAGGCTAAGTTACTCACCTTTGTTGCCAGCTATTTTGACAATAAATGGCTGTGTTGAGTTATTTTAAGAGGAGAGTAAATATAGGCTACTGCTAGCTCATTGATTCTAAAATATACCCAAGTTTCATTTACATAGGCCTAGTATTGTCTCTTGAGAAGGTATGCATGTAGCCTATGAATGTTCCTAGACAATGAGCATCACACCAAAATGTTTTTCATGTTACTAAAAGATGATTTCCTGTCATTTTTTTTTAACTTGTAATTCTCAAAGACTTGTAGGAAATTCACACAATAATTATTACATTGACTAAATTGGGTTACAAATACATAATCATAATTATGATTGTATTTGTAACCCAATTTAGTCAATGTAAGCATTTCTAACCTTAGGGTTTTTATAAAGCTAAACAAATTATTATTATTTTTTTTTTGTAAATCAAGAATTTTTGTTCGCAATGTAGACATCAATTAACAGTCCTACATGTTCTCTGCTGGACTTGCTTCATTTTTTCCAGGATTCATCTGGCAGCCCATTCACCAAACATAACAATGTTTTTTTGTTTCTTTGTTTGTTTTTTCTTGGATACAAGAACATTAAGTCCTCCAATAATTTCAGCTAATGCAAAACCTCAATGAGAAATCCAATGGTTACTCCTTTTTAATTGTTTTTGTAGACTGTGGTAAAAAAAAAAAATCACACCAACAAACAACACCAAGTCTGTTTTAAGCTGATTTACTTGCACCAATAAAAAAAATTAATGAAATGTTTACATCTTTACACCTTATTTGCATAAGCCTTTATCATTGCACAAACTCACCGAGTACCGGCACACTATATTAATGTTTATAAGGCAGACGAGCACGTAATAATCATACATTTTGATTTGCGAAAAAGGGGTGGGGAAATGTTCTTATTTGGAACAGCTAAATAGCAGCAGTGCAAAACCTGTCTGGCATTATACTGTGATTCAAAAGCACTATTCAGCAATAAGGACAGATGAATATTGACCTCTGTATACACTTGTACCCTCAAAACAGCAGCATTGCAAAGAGAGATCCTTAATTATATTAATACACATCTGGTTATTAAGAAATACTGTAGGCTACACATATGCTAACATTCAAAATGTTGGGGTTAGTAAGATTTTTGTCCTTATGCAGTCTACATTTTATTTGATAAAAAAGCAGTAATATTGTAAAAATATTATTATGATTTAAAACGGCTGTTTTTCTGTTCTTAAAATATTTTGTCATTTATTCCTGATGCAAAGCTGAATTTTCAGAAATTATGCTAATATGCTAATTTGCTGCTCAAGAAACATGTCTTATTGTTATCAGTTGTAAAAACCAGTGTGCTGCTTAATATTTTTTGTGGAAATCATGAAACATTTTTTTTTTTCAGGATCCTTTGATTAGAAAATTGTTACAATCTTAGTCAACTGTCATTTTAATGGATCCTTCCTCGCTGAATAAAAGTTTTAATTCTTAAAAAAAAAAATACTAACCCCAAACTTTTGAACTGTAGTGCATTTGTGCAAGAGAAGTGCTGTTTATATGTGCCTGATAAGACAAATATATCCATAAGACTATTACATCACTTCTCATAGATTCAAAGAGAACGCATTCTCTTCAAAACACCATAAACATACTGACTAAAACATAAAATATGATTAAATTAAAGCTAAAATATGAAGCATTCAAGTTTTATTTAGTGGGTAATGTACCTTAAGCCATTATTACTATTATTATTATAATTAAGTCACCCAAAGTTATCTGGCTACTCAGCGATGCATGATGTCACTAGCAAATCAAGCAGTAATTGGCTGTATTAATTGGGCAGTAAGGTAAAGTACTGTATTCTGTTGAAGGAATTGTGTCTTGTTACCTACAGGTTTTTTAAAGTGCAGGGAAGTCATGTGCATATGTTGTTTTTGTGTTTTTCAGACAGACAAGCTTGCAGAAGTTGCTCTGACGGTCGTGGCATCATATGACAGGTCCGCTGGTTAAATAACCTCTGAACCATAGGGGAGGGAATTATATTATGGTTTGTGTACAAAACATTCAAATGTGAATTTAATTTTAATGTATTAATAGTATAAAAAGGTGAGATCCATTTAATAGCATACTAATATGTAATCTAATCCTTGAATAATCAAATTGAATCTTGAGTTTCATAATATTAGATTGTTATATTTAGTTATGTTAGTTTTAAAGGAAGATTTCAAAAGTTATTCACTTATGAATTTATTCGCATACCAGTTTGTTGATGGGCTTGTATCTCATCCAGGCCAGAGAGACTGCGGAAGGATCGGCGCTCCTTGAAGGCCACGGTTGGAAGCATATCCTCATCGTCCCTCAGCTCCAGATTTGGTGTTTTTCCAGGACCTGGTATCCTGATTACAGGCCTCACATTCTCACAAGGCAAGTTATCCTTCACCGATGCTGTTTTCTAATGGGGCCAAAAAATGAGCAGGGCTTCTAGATGAGGCATAAACAAAGAGCCTGCCAGACACTGATAACCTTACCTTTTCTTCAGCGTCTGTCTTTCTTGTTCTTTTCATGATTTGTTCCAGGCGCTGATTTGGATAAAATTGAAAGCACAATATATATGTACAACTACAGTATCATTCTATTTTATTTTATTTTTTAAGAAGTCTCAGTTACATTTTACTTGAAGGGGTGTGCATAAGACTAACATGACACCTTTGTAATCATGACATGACATGAATATATGAAGGATGTTTTATGCAAGTTTGTGACAACTATCTTTAAGTGTCATTCGCTCATTTATGACATTTTTAATGCAAATATGACATTGTTTGAGATGTCTTTATGACAAACCAATACATCATA